CTTAATTAACTTAAGTTAGGATTAAAGATAATACTATCTATAATATTATCTTTGGTCAGGATCTGTAAAATTTACGGCGTAAACACTGCTTTATTTGTTATTATCAGTGCTGCCAAAAACGTTTACATTCAAACTTTGAAAATTATAACTTTTAATAATCAGCTGTCAAACGCGTGTGTTACAACCAGTGTTACCAGATTCTGTCAAAAAAGGACCGTACGTTTCGTTCGAATTCACCTTAATTACAAAATGACACAATGAAACAATGCAAATAAATGCAATTATGTCAAGTTGACGTTATTTAATATTGTCCATTGAGTCATTTTTGTAATTAAGGTAAATTCGAACGAAACGTACGGTCTTTTTTTGACAGAATCTGGTAACACTGGTTACAACCGAGTGTTTTTGATTATAAAGCCGGAAAATGTTAAAAAATATCGGGAAAAAACCGTGGCACGATTTGTTGTGTTGTTGGGTGTATTTCGAGAGGAAATCCTGGGTTGAGTTTTTACTGGTTTTCCAATAAACAGTGTTAATCCGAATGAAGAAATAAATTTCATACAGTCTCTGTAAATATAAATTGTACCTATTAGATACAATAAATACACATTTTAGTAGTGATTAACGTGAAAAGTGTTAACATTTCAATTCAGTAAAAATCGTCAAACAAATAAATTTAAACAGCATTTAGCATTATCAAAAGCTTTGATTAAGAAAGTCTCCACTCAACGGTAAAATACCATTATATTATGTATTATATATAATATTATGTTGCCATAAATTCGTAGGTATATTTTGTTGTTTAAAATGCAGTTGTCGGTGTTTTTTAGAGAACTCAAAAATAAAAATGGTTGATTTTAAGGTTATGTTTATGCAAAAATTATTTTTTATTAATTTCTTAAAAATGTCCAAACTTAAATATAAATTATAGGTATTAGGTAAAGTTATCATTAGTAAATTTTGCACCAACAAATGTACTTACAGAATTGGATCCTTTGGCAAAACATGAAAATGCAACGTTCTTGAATTTTATTTACAATTAAAAACTTAACAATTTACCATGATCCCTTTGATAAAATACACACACTAACGTAACTATATAAGCATTTAAGCGTTGAGTTTCGTAATCAATGATATAAAGAATAATCAATCGAAATCCAGTACTAAACCAGTTTTTTAGTATTTTCCTTGCAACGTAAAACACAAATAACGTGCCCGATTTAGATGTGCAATTGAACAAAATTTGTCGAGTAAGACTTCTGCCTTCCTCTCTTTTGTGAAAAAACTACCTATTTATTTAAAAAATGATGTACAGTTCGTATGCTTCAAATGTATTGTTGACAATTCTTAAATTCACGCAATGCTATTGAAGTCCACCAGATGACGCGCGTTGCGAAAACCCGATACTTCTTCAGCGTATTAATTAATCAATTCATTGAAAAATAGTTTTTATTAACTTTTTTGTTATGCCTAATTTATGGGTAGGAAAAGAGTGGGGGCCCTCCTCCTTTATTATATAAGATTTGCCGTAACAAAAAGAATCTAAAAAAGTTTTGACTTACGACATCTAACAAAAACAAAGAACTGATCTTTAAAAAAGAATAAGTTCCATATCCAACTTAAAAAAACTAATGACATTTTGACTTACGACCCCTAACAAAAACGAACCAAAAGAACTTATCTTTAAATAAAGAATTAGTTCCATATCCAACTTTAAACAAGATTTGACCTAACAAAAAGAATCTAAAAAAGTTTTGACTTACAACCCCTCACAAAGAAAGAACTGATCTTTAAATAAGAATAAGTTCCATCTCCAACTTTAAACAAAACTTTGATTTTTTGAAGATCAGTTATTTTAGTTCGTTTTAATAGACTATGCAATAAAAAGTTTATGGGGAGAAAGGTCCGAAAACTATCCTTAAAATTTTAGGCTTTACTTTCTATAGAAAATTATAATTATATCTCTAGAAAGTATTAAACCAATCATAGCACGGCGTTCTCCATAGCACTTAGTTGTTTCTGTTTCTTGTGTCTGTTGCTGTGTCCTTATCAATCTCTTGATCTCTCGGGCGATTCCATGATTACTAACAGGACAAGCAAAACAAACCAAAATGTTTTATGAAAATTTTTGAAGATGTGTTGTTGCTATACAATTTTTAAAAAACATTTTGTCTTGTTTTTGTTTGTCCCGTTAGTAATCCCGGAATCGCCTCTCGTTTCCGTTTCTGTTTTCCGTTCCTGTTCCCGTGGCCGTTTCTGTTTCCACAATAAAGTGCTGTGGAGGACACCGTGCTATGATTGGTTTAATGCTTTCTATAGAGATCATTTTCTATAGAAAGTAAAGCCTAAAATTTTAAGGATAGTTTTCGGACCTATATCCCCATAAACTTTTTATTGTATGGTCTATCAAAACGAACTAAATTTACTGATATTTAAAAAAGAATAAGTTCAATGTTTTTTAAAAAAATCCATATTTTCCACAAAAATAAATATATCGAGGTGAACCAAAAACAAAACTATTAAGAATAGATGTGACTTGATAAATAAAACTTAATTTAAAACAATATACGGTTTTGCCACTCTACAGAGTGTCTTGAACTTATGGTAAAAAACACCTTTTTGTTTAAACCTGTATATTATAAACGTACGTCTATTTTTTAGTATTTTTTTTAAAATGTGAGCGATTGTCCATTAATTTATCTACAATATTCTTTAATATTCGTTTAAATCCGACATCAAATAAAAAAGTTATTTGCGATGGAAATTCATCGAAAATTTGTTTGGATCGATTAAAATAATCAAGCACGTGAGTGTATTTATCAAAAATTTTTTGATCAAAAGTTTTGTTTTTTAACATTTTTTCAATGATATCAAGAATATTTTTTAAACCTTCCAGTGAGAATATTCTTAGGATCATGCTATATTTCTAAAGAACATGCTTAAAAGACATATAGCATATGATCCTAAGCACAATTGTGATTGTGATCCTAAGAATATTCTTACTGGCCTATAGGCAGGTTCTTAGAAGGTGCAAAGTTTTAGTGGTCAAAAATAGTCTACTCTAAACATATGCTTAGAATGTTAAGAAAGTAATTGCTAAGATAAAAAGTTCATTTAGGAATATTCTTGTTAAGCATATTTAGTTCAGTTACCTTTAATACTAAAATATACCATACTAAAATATACCATAAACTACGTATAAAGGTATATACCTATACTTAAGTACCTAATTAATAATTAGTATTAAATACTAAGTAAAAAACACAATCCAAAATATTTTTTTATAGTTATTTGTCAAATTAAAACAATATTCGAAAACAAAAATACTTTTACTATAGGTATTTTATTTTATGTTAAAAATAAATATTTATTAATTTGAATGCCGATTTTTTATTTCTGAATTAATATTTTTATACTTAACTTATGGATTTACTTACCAGTCGAAACTTCGTGATTAAAAATATGGCATAACAATAAAACAAAAAAGTTGGGATTTTTCTTAGCTATAATTTATTTATTTTTGTAATTTGTTGATAATATTTTTCAAAAATTGTTTGATTAAAATTTTTATGTTTTTTAACATTTTTTCAATGATATCAAGACATAACATAACATAAAATATTGTAATACTGTCTAAAATTTCTAGAACCGTCTAAAAACATACCAAAATCTCAGTATGTTATAAAAGGTCCTAAAACGCTATAAAAATCATCCTAGTACAATTCCAAACTTTTAAAAATGTCCTAAAATCATCAGTTCTGTTTAAAATGCCCTAAACCGTCAGTGCCTACTGTCTGAAATACCTTAAAATTTTAAGTTAAAAAAATGTCCTTTAATCTTCAATGTCCTAAATTGGCCAAGTATGTACTATCTGAAATTTCAAAAAAGAAGTCCTAAATCGTCCCAGTACTATCTTAAATTTTTGCTTTTAATTCACTACTAAAATGTGTATTTATTGTATCGAGCCACGGTTTTTTTTTCGATATTTTTTTAACATTTTCCGGCTTTATTCTCAAAACCACACGTTTTACTAACTTCAGCCCGTGACTAAAGTCGGTAGAAAAAAGGGATTATAAATAAAACTTTTTTTTTTAAATATTTATTACCAGCATCTTAAAACTACAATTAATACAATGCATTTAAAAAATAAGTATGAGGGGGTTTTATAAATCATATTACAAAAAATTTGGGTTATTTAGGTTTAAACTATATACTATATATACTATAGTAGTAGTAGCTGACAGATTAATAAGCTTAATATTTTTTTAAATTTTTTTTTTTTAATTATTTACTTTATTAATTAATATAACAGTATATTTATTAAAGTATAAATTAATAATTAAATTACGGATCAATAAAAACGATGTGTTTCCATTGTGGAAGCTTCAACAAAATGTTTTTTATAAATAATATTACAAAAAATTTGGGTTATTTAGGTTTAAAAAAAAAAAAAAATTTGATCAAAAGTTTTGTTTTTTAACATTTTTTCAATGATATCAAGAATATTTTTTAAACCTTCCAGTGAGAATATTCTTAGGATCATGCTATATTTCTTCTAAAGAACATGCTTAAAAGACATATAGCATATGATCCTAACTTGGATTCCTTAGGATTCCTAAGCACAATCCATTGTGATCCTAAAAATATTCCTACTGGCCTATAGGCAGGTTCTTAGAAGGTGCAAAGTTTTAGTGGTCAAAAATAGTCTACTCTAAACATATGCTTAGAATGTTAAGAAAGTAATTGCTATAAAAAGTTCATTTAGGAATATTCTTGTTAAGCATATTTAGTTCAGTTACCTATATAATACTAAAATATACCATAAACTACGTATAAAGGTATATACCTATACTTAAGTACCTAATTAGTAATTAGTATTAAACACTAAGTAAAAAACAAAATCCAAAATATTTTTTTTTTTAAATATTTACTTTATTAATATAACAGTATATTTATTAAAGTATAAATTAATAATTAAATTACGGATCAATAAAAACGATGTGTTTCCATTGTGGAAGCTTCAACAAAATGTTTTTTATAAATAATATTACAAAAAATTTGGGTTATTTAGGTTTAAACTATATACTATATATACCTACTATAGATTAATAAGCTTACCTAATATTTTTTTAAGATTTTTTTTTTTAAATATTTTCTTTATTAATATAACAGTATATTTATTAAAGTATAAATTAATAATTAAATTACGGATCAATAAAAACGATGTGTTTCCATTGTGGAAGCTTCATCAAAATGTTTTTTCTGTGTACTTAAAACCAACTGATTACCCAATTCCTTTAATTTTATATTTTCCTCCTGGAATTGTCTGCTTGGGTTATTTTCTTCATCTCTGCTGAGCTTTTCCAACTCCTCATTGTACTCCCGTATGTTTTTCTCGTGCTCTTCTTTTTCTCTTTCAAGTTCCCCTTGTCTTTCTCTATTTTTTTCGAGGTTATACTCGATTTGTTGTTTGATGGTTGCCAGCACTTCTTTTAGTAACTTTTGACGATCTTTTTCCTCGCTCATCCACACCTCGGATTGCCTCTCGAAAATGAGCTCCGCCTCCGAATCGAAAACCAAGTCCAATTCCTCCTCTCTATCCTTCTCCAGCTCCTGTTGCATTTTGACCAGGTTGGCGTACTTTTCAAAGCTCTCCTTGACCCGCTGGCGGTTCATGGCGTCGTGTATGACCCTGTGCAGCTCTAGGTTCTCCAGCTTTAGAAGAATCTCGTTCTCCATCGCCAGATTCTCCTGGATATCCATGGCCTTCTGTTTTAGTTTAGGTTTGTGTTCTCGGATGTTGTAGAGGGCGCACTCCCTCGCCAGTCGGCGGCTCTCCTCCTGCAAATGCCACTCTAGTATCTCCACCACGATCTTCTTCTTCTTGAAGTGGTCGTCTTCGATTTGCTGCAACATTTCGGCTTCTTGTTCTTTTTGCTTTAGTTCCTCCATTTGTTCCTTGATGAGTTTCGTATGCAACTCTGCGGCGGTGAGTTCATCAACGTCGGCCATCTTGAAAAAAGTTTTTTATGAAAAAAAATTAAAAACTGAAAAATTTAATAGTAGCAATTAGGGTTGGGACAGTTTCAGAAATTTCATTGAAAGTTTCGCAATTTACTGAAAATTTCTCATAAACTTCACATGCGGCCTCCCCTGGGACCTTTAATAATAATTTACAACAGATTCCGAATCGACCAATAAGAACGAGTTATCAAGCGTCTGGGCGTTTTTGTTTAGTTCGGCTTGGTTTTGAATACACTATAAGTAATTATTGTTACTTATATGCATAAATTAATTTAAATAATTTTATTCAGTTACCAATTTAATTTGTAAATTAAATCAGACTTTTTTTTTTAAGTCATGATTAATTTAAACTTTTACTTTTGCTATAATTGCATCGGAAAACGGATAAAAAATGCCTTTGGCTCATAAAATTTTGATGAAGTTGAAGAAAAAAAAATTGAATTCAATTTTCGTAAAATTTCAGTAAAATATTTAACAATAATAAATATATATAAATATAAAATAATGAAAGTGGCACAATCTCATTAGCTTGCCAAAAAGTGCTATATCTCTTTTAGTTTTACTAATTTTAAAAATATTTTAAAAGGAAATCTCAAGAAATTTGTGGTAAACATAGGTATTTACTATTTATATTATTGGTGCAGGGGCCCACAGAGGGGTAGGAGGTAAGAGAGGCAATTTGCCATGGTCCCCGAGTGGGCTTATTTCAATATTAATATATTACACTTAAAGTGATTGAAATTTATTGAAAGTTTCAATAATTTTCATAAATTTCAATAAATTTCAGAAATTTATGAAATTTTAATAAATTTCATAAATGCCATGAAAATTTCAAGTGAAATTTTAAGTACAAGCAAACCACCAGGCCTCAAAGGTTTTTACCCTTTAAAAAATACAAAAAATTTAAAAGGGTTATAATTATTTGAAGAAAAAAGGGATATTTTTTGAAAACTTTTGGTTGGGTGATAAAATTCTGATATACAAAAAATTCAGCCAAATGAAATCAAAATGCTCGATTTGACAATTCGTTATTGCACAGCAAACGGAAAAATATAGAACTATATAGGATGACTCCGCGTTTGAATACTAAATCTTAAAGTTTTATCAGAACAGTATTGAATCGTGCTTTGTTTTTATATTTTTCGGCTCTATACCTATATATATGCATATATGCCCGACTATATTTAAAGTCAAACTCAATGGTGTCTTACAAGATACATTATTTTGAATTTCTATATTCAACAGAGAGGTAGAAACTCGACCCTGTCGAATGTCTCTAGAAAGGGTTCAGTCCAATGGTGCAGCAACTTCGGATTCCTATTCTCTTCAGAGACATAGAAACTCAAGCTTTTCTAATGTTACTGGCAATGATTTTCGTTAATGTCCCCGAGAATTATACAAAAACAGCGCAATGCAATATCGCAACGGTTTCGACTTTTCTTTACTCTACCAAGTTATAGAAACTGGAGTCTCTCTAATACTGTTCTAGTCAATATTTCTGAGAGTATAAAAAGAGGGTGTAATATTGCAATCTTTTGATGGATGCAAGTAGTTTGAATTTTCTCATTTCTGCATATGATTTTGTTAAAAATAGTTCCTTTCTTTGGTTTCTTTGTCTGATATTTATTTACCGTAACAACTCAGGTATGTAAAGCACAGAGGATATGATGTAAAGTATATTTATGTATTTTATAAAGTACCGTAAAACGGGGCGATTTCGGACAGCCGGGGCCACTTCGGACACCATTACCTTAAAGCTATTAAAAATTCGCGATTGGGACATCTGACGTGACAGAGTTCTGTAATTCGGGAAAAAACTTCGTAGAAGATGGCTAAAGCTATGGCAAGAGGCACGTGGGTTCGCTTGTTAAGGGAAATAAGCTTTTTGCATCGTTTAGTCTGGAGTTCAAACTTTACTTATTTAATAACTTGGTAAAAGTAACTGGTGCCAGCAAGTAAATATGCACTGTATGATCAAAATAATATAGATTTTCGGTAGTACGTAATTTTGTTGATAAATTCTTTTTTTTTTGTTTACGTTCGTATTACATTAACTTTTATACAGGGTTGTAATACAAATATTTGCATTTTATGGGGCGACTTCGGACATGGTTAGGGTCTATAAAAAAATGTTGTAGAGCAATTTTTACAGAAACTATACAAAGTACAATATTTTTTAATATACTAGTATTTAGTATAAGAAGAAACAAATTTGTTTTATTGTTTTGATCCTCAGAATTCAATTTTATTTTATATTTTGATAAATAAAATGCCCTTTTCCATTTGAATGAGTTTTTACCTAATTTCATGCTTTTTTTTCCTAATTTTATGCTTTATATATTTTTTTAAAGCAATATTTTTGTCCGAAGTCGCCACTGAATGTGATAGCTTCGATTATATACATTTTACAACGCTTGTACGAAATCGCCCCACCTTAAGGGGTGACTTCGGACAGACTTTGGCAAAAAAAAATTAGTATTAGTATTTGTATGACTATTATAATTTTTACGTAAACTTATACCGAAAGGATGCCAAAATCCCCTGTAAAAAATTTAGTTCAAAATAACAAACAGAACCGATTCAAAATTTGAAAAAACTTTAAAAATCGTCCGAAGTCACCCCGTTCTACGGTACCTATATTTGTATTAAAAATTTCAGAGGTTATGTTGAAAAAATGATCGATATGCTATTAAACTTTAAGTTCACGGTTTATTCACCGTGAATTCACCGTGGATAAACCGTCTGTTTGTGACATTTGTAAACGGTAGTTAGACGGTGAATTCACGCACTTTTTACAGACGGACTTGGCTTTTCAATGTCGTTGTTTATTAAATATTTACTGGTAGTTTATAACTTCCAGAATAACAATATAATGTTATGCCTATAGGCAGGTAAATTTATAAACCCTTTAAATTTTACTGTTGAACTTGTGAATTTAGTTTTTGTAAAATAAATGCGCTTCATCAATATTTAAGTATAAACAAATTATTTATTTAATAATGTTTATAAATAAAAAAATCTTAATATTTATTATTAATTTTTTATTTAATTATTAATACCGTCTATTAGCAACAAAATTACTATTTATTAAAAAGTAATTACTTTAAACAACCATTTACAAACAATTAAAATAATTTATTATTTACATTACCACGTGGTACTGTACAGTAATTTACGATGTTTTCACAGTAAACTCACAGCGCTTTTACGGTGAATTCACGGCGATTTCACGAAAAATTTACGGTACTTTGACAGTGAATTTGCGGTGATATTGCAAACTTCAGTTCACCGTGAATTAACCGTGAAATCACCGTGAATTTATCGCAAAAACAGCGTGAGTTCACCGTTTAATTACCGTCTACAAATGTCACAAATGGACGGTATATTCACTGCACATAAACGGTGTATTCACGGTGAATTCACGCAAACGGTGAATTCACCGTAAACTCAAGGCCGCAAGGGAAATGAATTAATGGCCCATTGGCAATTATTCCTTTAGTAAAAATATTCAACACAGCTTAATTAATTAATAAAATGAAAAAAATCACAATCATGTCGTATATAGTTTTTTTTAAGCATAAAATAGTTTTCATATTAATACTAGTTCAAAAGTTAAATTACGACCTCTATAGAGGTTGTAATTTAACTTTTGAACTAGCTCGCGAGCGTTTCAATACTCTCCACAGTATATATACTGTGGAGAGTATTAATACGCTCGACTGACGAATACAACTCTATACGCTGGCGAGATTTAGAAAACTATTCAAACGTGGCGTCATCCAATACACTTCTATATTTTTCCGTTTGCTGTGTGATTTAAAAATAATCAATTTTAAAAATTTTGTTTTTAGTTTGCAGCACTTTTCTTCAAAAGATAAAGCTTTTCAATAACTACATTCATTCATTAATTACGAGAGGTGTTTAGGGGGGGGGAGGGGGTCGAGCCAAACCTCACCCAATCTCACGTTGGGGGGAGGGTGGTCTCGGCAAATATCACGTAATTTTTTCTTTTCTAATGAAACAGTGTAAAATTGCGAGAAAACTGTGTTAAATTAAGTAAACAATTAGGTATAACAATTGTTTTTTTTTTAATAAATCTAATGGAATCAATCACAGATTAACTTATTTACATTAAAACAATGCATTTTAAAAAATCTCACGTGAGATTAAGGTAGGGGGGAGGGGGTCGAGCAAAATCTCACGAAATCTCACCAAGGGGAGAGGGGGGAGTCGAAAAATCGTCAAAATTGCCTCACGTAATTAATGGATGACCCCATACCAATTTTTTTTTAATCGGTCTATTTTTAAATAAATACCGAATTCTCGCCAATCAAAATAAAACACACTGTATGTAGATTACCCTATTTTCCCAAGTTGTTTTTTTTATAAAAAAAATAAAAACTATAACTTGCTTATTAAAAGACATGTCACAATCATGGGCGCCGCTACATAGGGGCAGGGGGGGGCCCGGCCCCCCCCCTGGAAATTCATACCCAGATATTCCGGTACTCCATAATTTGTATAATATTATAAATAACCATAATACCTAATAGGCGTGTTGCAAAACGAAAAATAAGACGTTTTACACACAAAAATTGCTTATAATTATCCTGTTATTACTACTCTATGTCATGCTATAGCATAACATCGATATGTATTACCTAAAAAAGTCGCTACAGTGCAACCACATTTTTTTATGTTTAAGTTTTTGTTATTGTTATAACTTATTTTTAAAATATTACTCATGTTTGTATTTAATTTTTTTGTTATATTTATATTATCATAATTTGTATAGCGTATACATAAGACGGCTGTACTACTAGAGGAAATTCCTCGGCGATACAATTTTTTTATATTTATATATTTACCAAAAAACTGTGATATATTTTTTGCAATATGTACCAATATAAATAAATAGGTAAATATACATATAAAGATGATATTTTATTTGACTTAAGTTTAATGTGAACTTCTACAGTACAACTTGA